ACCCACAAACAATGCATCTTCAATACTCACACGGTTGATGAAATACTCAGGAATGTTTAATCAGGGGGCGGGGAGCCCCTTATAAAGCAGAAATACATCACGTGCCTAATTACAGATAACAGAGAAAAATACAACAACAATTGGTTAGGTGTCAAGTGATGCATTCAATGTACCTTCCACTGGGTGTATTATTGCTGTTATCGTGAAGTTCTCCCCCGGATTCCGGCGCCATCTTGTAACACGAGGTGATCAGTCGATGGATGGGGTACTCCTGAGGGACATCTAGTGTCCATTTTAGTAATTTATTGAATAATACTGATTATTGTTATGCAGAGTAAAAAGGGATTTTACTTTAGCTAATATTCTGTCCACAACAATACCCACACACAATGTATCCCCTATAGCCACACACAATACTTCCCCTATACCCATATACAATGCATCCCCTAAAACCACACACATTGCATGGCGGGACAGAGGCAGCACTAACCACAGCTCCTTTGCCATGTAAGCGGCCTCAAAATTATTATTTTTTGCTGTTAGCATTTCTAATCCATCACAAACACTCCCACTCCTCTTAGTAAAATACATGCTGTTTGTCTTAATATTGAAAACAGAACAGCTATAGTCACTAAACTAAAGATGCTGCACAATGATATTGTGAGAATGTTTTGAGAATTGTTGTGTTGCAAAAAATAAACACTCCTCCATAGTCTAAACTGAGGAGTGAATGTTACTTTTGCAATGCCCAGTTATCTAGAATACGACGTCCTAGAGGTTGAACATGCCTGTGTGGCAGACATGGGCAGATTAGTGTGGGGTATGAGTCACGGTACAGCACCTCTCACACACAGTTTTGGGGATTAGAGTTTGCCAAAAAGATTTCTTTTTCCATTGCAAACTGTTAAATGGGAAACAACAGACATTGGCACCAGGGAAATTCCAGCCACAGGTCCAATTATTTCCTTTGTTGTTTCTGGACCTCATCTTGGCACAGAGATTACTTACAGCTTAATCTGATGCTGCTGAAAGTAATGAAGTTGTACAGAAGCTGAGCGTGTTTTGTGCGCGTTTAATTTATTTGCTCTTTAACTGGGCTGGAAATAAGTAAAATCAGTGTAAAGCTATATAATTTGTGACACTTACAATATTGAGATCATACAAAGGCAACATTAAAGTGGGAATTTCACAGCAGAGCTGTAGCTGTCCATATCAATACATGCAAACTGATGCACAATACATTATATGAACTGTCAGCTATAAACACACAATCTGTATGTCTATATGTATCTGTCTGTCCATTATGAATCCTTAATTTAAAATAATTTTTTGTTTCCTGTTCATTTTTTCTGTATGATGTTTCTGGTAGTTTATAGTCACAACCAATGAATCCCTTTTGAAATAGAAACATAGAAACATAGAATGTGACGGCAGATAAGAACCATTTGGCCCATCTAGGCTGCCCAATTTTCTAAATACTTTCATTAGTCCCTGGCCTTATCTTATAGTTAGGGTAGCCTTATGCCTATCCCACGCATGCTTAAAGTCCCTTACTGTGTTAACCTCTACCACTTCAGCTGGAAGGCTATCTCATGCATCCACTAGCCTCTCAGTAAAGTAATACTTCCTGATATTATTTTTAAACCTTTGTCCCTCTAATTTAAGACTATGTCCTCTTGTTGTGGTAGTTTTTCTTCTTTGAAATATAGACTCCTCCTTTACTGTGTTGATTCCCTTTATGTATTTAAATGTTTCTATCATATACCCCCTGTCTCGTCTTTCCTCCAAGCTATACATGTTAAGTTCCTTTAACCTTTCCTTGTAAGTTTTATCCTGCAATCCATGAACCAGTTTAGTAGCCCTTCTCTGAACTCTCTCTAAAGTAACAATATCCTTCTGGAGATATGGACTCCAGTACTGTGTACAATACTCCAAGTGAGGTTTCACCAGTGTTCTGTACAATGGCATGAGCACCTCCCTCTTTCTACTGCTAATACCTCTCCCTATACAACCAAGCATTCTGCTAGCATTTCCTACTGCTCTACTACATTCTCTCCCTACCTTTAAGTCGTCTGAAATAATTACCCCTAAATCTCTTTACTCAGATATTGAGGTTAGGACTCTATCAAATATTCTGTACTCTGCCCTTGGTTTTTTACGTCCAAGATGCATTATCTTGCACTTATCCACATTAAATGTCAGTTGCCACAATTCTGACCATTTTTCTAGTTTACCTAAATAATTTGCCATTTGGCTTATCCCTCCTGGAACATCAACCCTGTAACATATCTTAGTATCATCAGCAAAAAGACATACCTTACCATCAAGACCTTCTGCAATATCACTAATAAAAATATTAAAGAGAATGGGTACAGTACAGATCCCTGAGGTACCCCACTGGTGACAAGTCCAAGCTTCGAATATATTCCATTAACTACAACCCTCTGTTGCCTGTCACGCAGCCACTGCCTTACCCATTCAACAATATTGGAATCCAAACTTAAAGATTGCAGTTTATTGATAAACTGCAATCGTGTCAAAAGCCTTACTGAAATCTAGGTAAGTGTCAAAAGCCTTACTGAAATCTAGGTAAGCAATGTCTACTGCACCGCCCTGATCTATAATTTTAGTTACCCAATCAAAAAAATCAATAAGATTAGTTTGGCATGATCTCCCTGAAGTAAACCCATGTTGTCTCTGATCTTGAAATCCATGTGTTTTTAGATGTTCAACAATCCTATCCTTTAACATGGTTTCCATCACTTTCCCCACTACTGAAGTAAGGCTTACTGGCCTATAGTTGCCCGACTCCTCCCTATTACCTTTCTTGTAAATGGGCACAACATTCGCTAACTTCCAATCTTCTGGGACTACTCCTGTTAACAATGATTGGTTAAATAAATCTGTTAATGGTTTTGCTAGTACACCAGTAAGCTCTTTTAATAGCTTTGGGTGTATTCCATCAGGTTCCATTGACTTATTTGTCTTTACTTTTGACAGTTGAAATAGAACCTCTTCCTCTGTAAAACTCACATGTAATAAATGACTCGTTTATCCTTTTTCTCAACTGAGGTCCCTTTCCTTCATTTTCATCTGTAAATACAGAACAAAAATATTAATTGAGGCAGTCAGCTAGACCGTTATCCTCTTCTACATACCTTCCTTCTTTTGTTTTTAATCTAACTAATCCTTGTTTTACTTTTCTTTTCTCATTTATGTATCTAAAAAAATTGTTATCCCCCTTTTTTACTGACTGTGCTATTTTCTCTTCTGTGTGTCATTTGGAAGCTCTTATAACTTGCTTAGCCTCTTTCTGTCTAATCTTATAGATCATTTTGTCTTCCTCACTCTGGTTTTTTTTATAATTCCTAAATGCTAACTTTTAGTTTTTAACTATTTTGGCCACATCTGTGGAGTACCACAGTGGTTTCTTGAATTTTTTGCTTTTACTGACAAGCCTAATGCAATTTTCTGTTGCCTTCAATAGTGCAACTTTTAAATAATCCCATTTCTCTTGGACTCCATTTAAATTGCTCCAGTCTGATAATGACTCCTCTACCCATATTCTAATTTTAGAAAAGTCTGTTTTTCTAAAGTCTAAAACTTTTGTTTTTGTGTGGTGTGACTCAGCCACTGTTCTTATATTAAACCACACTGACTGATGATCACTGGATCCTAAACTTTCACCTACAGTAATATCTGATACCAAATCTCCATTTGTTAACACTAAATCTAGTATGGCCTCTTTACGAGTTGGCTCCTCAACAACTTGTTTTAGAGACAATCCCAGTAGGGAGTTTAGAATATGTGTGCTCCTGGCACAAGTAGCTAATTTTGTTTTCCAATTTACATCAGGAAGATTAAAGTCACCCATGATGATAACTTCCCCCTTCATTGTCATTTTAGCTATTTCCTCAACTAGTAGATTATCTAACTCTTCAATTTGTCCTGGGGGCCTATAAATCACACCTACACGAGTTACTGTGTGATTACCAAATTCTAACGTAACCCAAACGGACTCTATGTTTGCCTCACTAACTTTTATTAGGCTAGATTTTATGCTATCCTTCACATACCATGTCTCAGTAACAGTGACTAAATCTACACTATCAGTTGCCATTATTGCCACAAGTTCATGGATCTTATTCCCTAAACTACGAGTATTTGTAGACATGACTCTAAGCTTATAATTTTTTAAACACACTTGCTACAGGCACCTTCTGTCCTTGTTTTGGGGGACAATTAGATTGATGTTTTGCCCCCCCCCCCCTCCTAGTTTAAATACATCCTAGCAAAACCTCTGAACTGCTCACTGAGAACATTTGTTCCCTTTTGAGAAAGATGCAAACCATCTTTTTTGTACAGCTTATCTCCATTCCAAACAGAGCTACCATGAGAAATAAAGCCAAATCCTTGCTCCTGACACCATTCACCAAGCCACAAATTAAAGTCCCTAATATGCATCCGCCTGTCGTTCTGAGTGTTATGCACAAGCAGAACTTCAGAGAATGACAGTGTGGAAGCAACCTGCCCTATATCATTGGCAAAAACACTAAAAACTTCCTTAACCTCTGAAATCTCATTGCAAGCCAAGTCATTTGTCCCTAGATGGACAAGTACATCCAATTCCCCTTCCTGCTTTGCTTGCTTAACAATATTACAGATACGTCTCCTGTCTCTGTGAGCAGTAGCTCCGGGAAAGACACCTCACAAGACCACCATTGTCCATCTCCACACCTCTTATAATGGAATCTCCCAACAACAACTGCTTTCTATTAGGCCTCTCCATAGTCTCCAAGCCGGTCTCCACAACACCACTAGCCTCAGTGCCTCTCTCCACAACACCACTAGCCTCAGTGCCTCTCTCCACAACACAACTAGCCTCAGTGCCTCTCTCCACAACACCATTACACTCTGAAAGTGCAGAAAATGAATTATGAAGAGCAACAGACTGTGCAAAATGCCTTTTATCCACAACTCTAAGTCTACCAGTTCCTACAGTAATCCATCTGCCATTCCTAGTATGTTTCTGCGGCAGTGGCTTTGCAGCAGTTCCAGTCTGAGTTTGTTCACCAGATAATTTACAAATCTCAGACTTCAAAAATACAATCTCCTGCCGCAAGATAGAGAACTGTCTACAGATTAGACAACAACCAAACCTCCAAAAAGTGAAACGTGAAACAAATGCATAGCAACTATTACACTGAACTAAGTCTGCCATTCCAATGAGGAGAATAATTTAAATCAAACAAATCTTAACTTTGTATTTATCCTCCTGAATACCTCAGATTACCTCCAGTTTATCTCCAGAATATCTCCAACCACACACTTACAAGTAGCAACCAAGCTATATTAGCCAAGCTAATGACAACAAGCCTTATATATCTCCTAAAATCACCACCCACTAGGAATGTTTAACACTTGGGTAGGCCTCTGCTTATTTGCAAACAATAGCTAATTTAAGCAGCAATCAATAGCAAGTAATCTAATCAAATGCCTTATAATTACCAACAGGAATTCAAACCTTGTGCAATCAGTAACCTTTTCCTACAGATGAATCTTACCTGTAACAGTAGAAAAGAAAGCTCTTAGCACAACTCTTGTTGAAGCTTCTGTAAAACTCTCCAGAATATCTCCAACTTTATGCTTTAGGCCCGGGTTGCAAATTATAGCCCCGTAGCTGCTGTTGGACTATTGCTCCCACAATATTCTGCCCATCTATTGCACAAATAATTTTGGGAGTTATATTAATCACCATCTGGATGGGGGCGGCTTGACAACTTTGATCTAGGCTATATAATGACTTGCTGGTCAAAATAACCCCATATCTGGGACTTCAGCCCCCCACCCCCCTCCAACCAATGCACCTAGCAATCCATCTCTTCATGATTATGCATAGTGAGGTACCTAGATATAGACACTCAGGAAAGCTGATGGGAACCGGGAAGAAAGATGGAAACCGATTGATGCTTGGATTTTTTTCACATTTTGCCAAAAATCCGTTGCTGTATTGTCTTGTGAAACCTATGATGCAATATGTATGATGTTTTTGTTTTTTAAAGATTCTATCTGTAAGAGAAACTCAGAGGTGACCGTGCGACTGTAAAAGTACCACAACACTTGTGCACTTCCGTTACATGTGCAAATGAGTGTCGTGGAGCACCCATCTGACATGACTTTGATCTTGAAGCAGATTTATTCAGTGAATCCATCACATCGGGTGGTAAGGGCTCTATGATATTTTTTTTTTAATATTTATTTTTTATTGAAGGTTTTTCAAAGGTAAAGATCCAGTACATAGTTGTTTCATAGTGTATACAACGAGTAGTCAGCGGGTTACAGGATAATATATTTGTACTCTAAAGTTATACAGTAACATCATCTGCCTCCGTGTACTATGTAACATTTTATCGAAGCTGGTTTGCAATTACTCTTCAATTGGGTTGATATTACAATTCAAATAAACGTAACAAAGGTATATACACAAACAAATATACAGGCAAATCATAATAGTTTGTATCCAGCATTTCCTGCGTACTTTGGCCATGTCAGCTCACATAAGTCACCGTCTATGCTTCCCTGGGCCGCCCTGATTCTTCTGGGTCCCCTCCTCCCCTCTTACCCACCCTGGTGTTTCTGTCCCTCATACCATGTCTCCCAGATATTCCAAGTGTTTTGGAACCTTTCCGTGGCCATGGCGTTGTCAGTGGACATTTTCTCATATATATAGAATTGTTGTATTTTGTCTGCCAATTGGTGGATGGCTGGGCAGCGAGGTGTTTTCCAGTTTAGAGCTATCAGGTTTCTAGCGGCCATTAAAACTATCCCTATCAATTGTGTGTGGTTTTTTTGTGCCGTTTCGGGGAACAGCAAGAGTAGGCAGGTCGTTATGTCCATGGGGAAGTCTCTAATGCCGAGATCTTTCAATAGGGTCTGAACATCTCCCCAGAGAGGTTGTATCCCCCCACATTGCCACCATATGTGTGGCAGGGTTCCCTCTTCCACACCGCATCTCCAACATTTGGTGGAAACGTCTGGGTACATTCTGTGTAGTCTGGTAGGTGTCATGTACCACCTATATAGTAGTTTGCGATGCGCTTCAATATGTGAGTAGCACTTGGTCCACTTTTTGATCCCATTTAGGGCCAGCATCCACCTTTCCTCTGTCATGACTGTCCCCCTCTCAGTCTCCCAGTGCTGTTTACATGTCATCGGTTTTTGTGGTGCTAGGTCAAGCCATGCTTTATAGCAAAGTGAGAGGGCTTTGGGTTTCATCGGGGCTGTCCAGCATCTGTGGGGTATTAGTCTCGCTGCTACCGCAGAAGTAGGCCCAGTGTGTGGTGTGCCCTTGACGTGTGTGTTTATTGTGTTTTTCAGTTGTAAGTAGGGAAAGATATCCCTCTCCGGGACTTTCCATCTGTCTCTGATGTCTGGGAAACTCATGATCGTCTGGTCTGTACACAGTTGTTGGATTTGGGATATACCTAAGCGTGACCATCTGTTTAGTGGGATCGTAGGATTCACTGTATGTAGTGCAGTGAGGGGAGCTTCAGGGTGGAAGTGTTTCCTCCAGCCCAGGGAGGACATAAAGTCGTCCCATACTCTGACCGTTGCGATTGTGGTGGGGTATAGAACCACTTTGGGGCCTCTTAGCGTTCTCGGCGTCCATAGGTAATTAAGCAGTGAGGTGTGCTTAAGTTGGCCTTGTTCCATATCCACCCACTGTGTTGCCCCCTTTTGGGCGTGTAGGTGTATACTCGTTGCTAGAATAGAGGCTTTGTAATAGAGTCCAATGTTGGGCATGCCTATACCCCCCGTTTGGGTCGTCCGTTGTAGGAGACCTAGGGGCAGCCTGGGTTTCTTACCCCCCCAGATGAAGGAGTTGCATATGGCTTGTAACGATTTATGGATTGCGGCTTGGATGTCTATTGTGAGCATGCGGAATATATACAGTAACCTTGGCAAAAGCATCATCTTATATGCATTCACTCGGCCCAGCCAGGACAATTTTGCATTCTTCCATTTGTGTATTTCTGTGGTGCATAGATGTATGAGGGGCTTATAATTGAGCTTTACTATGTTGCTAATAGGAGCGGCGATCTTAACCCCCAAGTACGTTATAGATGTTGTTCGCCAGTCGAGTTCAAAGGTGTTCTTAAGGGTGGTTACATTTGGCCCTGGTAGGTTTATCGGTAGGGCTTGTGTTTTCTCCTTATTCAGACGGTAGTATGATATTCTACCATAGTCTGTCAATAGAGTTAGTAGAGGGGGCAGCGATTGTTCTGGATTTGAAAGCGCCACGAAAATATCGTCCGCAAACATCGCCAGACAATATTCCCTGTCCCCCAGTGTGATACCGGTTATGGCCTGGTGTCGTCTTATCTTCCAAGCCAAGGGTTCCAGGGAGAGTATGTATAGCAGGGGGGATAGTGGGCAACCCTGGCGTGTCCCATTCGTAATGTGAAAAGTGCGTGACAGGAAGCCCCCATGGGAGACCCTAGCACTGGGTCGTGCGTACAGAGCCAGGATTCCCCTGATAACCTCTTCGGGGAACTGATACTTGCACAGCACTTGTGTCATATATTGCCAGTTAAGTCTGTCAAAGGCCTTTTCGGCGTCCAGCGCCAGGAAAAGACCTCCGATTTGTCCCCTCTCCATTCCCGCTATTATGTTTAGCACTTTCCTCGAGTTATCAGAGCCTTGTCGGCCCCTCACGAAGCCGGACTGGTCATTATGTACTAATTTATGTAGCAACGGTGCCAATCTTTCGCTAAATAGTTTTGCGTAGATTTTGGCATCGCTATTTAACAATGAAATGGGCCTGAAGTTTTTACATTGATCTGTATTTTTGCCCGGTTTGGGAAGGAAGTGTGGAGACATGTGCCATTGTGACTTCTTCTGGCAATGCCCCTTCTGTCATGCAGTGGTTAAATAGAGCGCCAAGAGGTTGCGCTAGGGTGTTAAGGAAGGTGCGGTAATATTTATTGGGCAGGCCATCAGGTCCCGGTGCTTTATGTAGTGGAAGCGTGGAGATCACCGAGGTGATCTCTTCGGTCGTGAAGGGTTTGTTAAGTTGATCCGCCTCCATCTGAGATAGGGTAGGAAGGTCGATTCCTGCCAGGAAAGCGTCAATATCTGCTTTAGAGGGACAGACTGTCTGTGGGTCATCTTTCAGATTATATAATTTTTCATAATAATGGGCGAATTCGTCCACTATCCCCTGTGGGTTTAGAATTGTGGTGCCCCTGGAACCCTTGATAGAGGCAATTTTGGAGTTAGCCGTCCTCTGTTTCAATTGGGCAGCCAGCCGCGCTCCTGCTTTGTTGCCTGTAGCAAAAAAGCTGTGTTTAAACTTGCGCATGAGGGATGTGGTTTTGGCCAGTTCCAAATCTCTGAGCTGCGATTGTAAGCGCAATAATTTGGTATGTGTGGCTGCTGTAGGGGTGTGTTTGTTGGTGTGAGTTAGGGAGGTTAATTCAGAAAGTATGGCTGTGTAAGATTCTAGTCGCTTTTTTTTTGCGTAGCTGGCGTGCTTGATGAAGCTGCCTCTTATGAAAGCTTTGTGCGCCATCCATATTTGGGGTAGAGGTGAGTCTGGGGTTTTGTTTTCTTTAAAATAAAACTGTAGATCTTGTTCTATTTGGTTAACTATGGCAGGGTCGGAGAGTAATTGTTCATTGAGTCTCCAACTGCTTCTTCCTGAGTTGGGGAATTGTTCCCTAAGTTGTAGTGTAATAGGGGCATGGTCTGACCATGTGATAAGGCCTATGTCTGTGCGCTCAACCTTTATGATGGAGGAGGTGCGGATCAAAAACCTATCTATTCTCGAATAAGTCTTATGCGCTGCTGTGTGGCATGTGTAGTCCCTCTCTGTGGGATGGGTGACTCGCCATGGGTCTACAAGATTGTGCGGTGTTAGTTTGTTGCATATTAGTGTGGCTAGTTTGGACCTGCTCTTTAGTGTTTGTGCAGTCAATTGGGGACCTCCTGATGAGTCTAGGTCACTGTCTAGTAAGAAATTCGTGTCACCCCCAATGATCACTTCCCCAAGTGCGTGAGCAGACATCAAACCAAGCAGTACATCAACAAAGTTACATTGGTTAACATTAGGTCCTTAGACATTAATTAAGGTATAGACATTATTATTTAGGGAGCATTGCAATATAAGGTACCTTCCCTTTTTATCTCCTATTTTGCGTATTAGGGAGAAAACTACATCTCTGCCAATAAGGATGGACACTCCTCTTTTTTTTTTGGAGTAACATGAGTGAAAATCTATGGGATACTGTGGGGAGTTAAACTTCGGTCTGTTACCCCATTGGAAGTGCGTTTCTTGGAAGAGCATTACGTGGGCACCTAATGATTTTGCTTTGCGCAGTGCTAGGCGGCGCTTGTGAGGGGAATTCAGCCCTTTAGTATTTAGGGAGCATATTTTAAGTACCATCTGACATGTGGTGTAGTCTGTGGCTACTCGGGGGGAGACAGGGTGCTCTTCCAACATTAGGTTCCCTAATGGGAGGTAATTGTATAGCTAACCTGTTGGTGCCAGATGGTGTTAAGGATGCGGGACATACTGTCTGTGGGATTTGCCTTATAAAAATAAAAAGGGTTAAAACAATATAATAACTGAACCAATAATCAACTATGTACAGAGTTCCGTTCACTGCGCCTCTGCGGTGCAGTGTCAAACCTAACGGATTCTCTTGTGGCTCTGAGTCGGTAGCCACATTGGGGGTGGTTATTGAAATCAGTTGCAAGGATTTAACAACAAAAATTATCATAGCAATTCTGGGTGGCCTTAGTGGCGCCCTCTCTGGGTGTAGGTAGGCTTTTAGCCCGGCATGGTAATTTGCAAGAAAGGAGCATGTACTATTATAGTCTTTGTATACGACCTGTCCCGTATGAGCACCGTGTGGTCAGCACACGATTGGAAGTTCTGATCCTGCTAGACTTGTCTTTGTGTAGTCTTGGGACGTGGTTGTTTCTTCCATTCAGTGTGGAGTTTGATTGCAGATCTATCCTCCGTAGCTAGCAATGGGTCATTTGGTATCGGGATGTTCCACTCCAACAGTTGTCTTTTACCGGATTCAGGATCAAGAATCAGGTTGTCTACGCCGTTGCGTTTTACTAGTAACTTGGTCGGGAAGCCCCATTTATACTGTACTTCCGCCGCTCTCAATGCCGCTGTGATGTGGGTAAACGATCGCCTTTTTATCATAGTCGCAGTGGAGAGGTCAATGAATAGCTTGATTTGGGAAAATTGACCTGGGAGCTGACCTTGGCGTCTAGCCGCTTGCATTATTCGATCTTTCGTTGTGAAATAGTGTATTCGTGTTATGACGTCTCTCGGTACTGTAGTCGGTAAGTGCTTGGGTTTTGGGAGGCGGTGTGTGCGGTCAAGCAGCAACTCAGTTTCCTTCAATGCTGGAACGTATGCTGTAAATATTTCTTTTACATATTGGGTCAGATCTAGGGAGCCGACTGATTCCGGTATTCCTCGGATTCTAATATTGTTGCGGCGGTCCCGGTCTTCGTGATCTGCCACTTTTGCTTCTAGGCTTTGTACTCTCCGTATTAGGTCGTTGTGTGCCTCTGCTAGGCTATTATGGGCCTCTATAGTTTCCTCTGCTCTCTCTTCCAGACGTGCTGTTCTTTCACCTAAAGCTTGAATGTCAGCCCTGATATCTGTAGCAATTTGTTTCAGGTCTGTTTTGAAGGTGTGTTTTAATTCAGATAGCATGTTCTGCAGTGAAGCATTTGTGGCTGGTGCTTGCATGTCATCTGCAGTGAGGGTAAACTCACCGCCTTCTGAGCATGAGGCTGGGGACTGGGGCTGGTCGGCGCCATTTTGTTCCTCCTGTCCGCACTTCGGCGACGCTATTACTTGCATTTGGAGGGTCTTTTGTTTGAATTTCTTGGCGGTCTTTGTGGACATTATGAGGTGGGGGTATGCCCGCTTGTTTGCCGCTCTTGCCGGTGCTTGTATGCTGTGTAGTCACGCTGTAAACACCCGTCGGCGGGAGAGCTCCGAGATCAGGCGACCTCTCTCATTCGCCGCTAAGCCACGCCCCCTCTATGATATTTTTAACAGAATGGTGTGCATAATCTTGATTTGGTTCACCTAACCCAATAAAATAAACAAAAACAGGCAGTTCTGTCCTCTGGTAATCAATATTACTTGGTTAATAGTCTGTAATGTATATTATATGCACACAGTTCTGCTGCTTATGTAGATGCTTTGTAAAGAAAATATACAGTATAGTGCTAGCATATGGAGCAGTACAGTACATCTTTTAAAGTATATTCTGTGTAAAATGCAATATTGTCACCCCTCGATTTGCAGAATAACCTGCAAAAGTAAAGTGTTACTTACCTGTAATCCAGCCCTTGGTGAAGCTTCCAGTGCTGATTTCCATGCCTCTGTCTGACATCATATGGGCCTTGCGTGGTCCAATCACAGGCTTGCTCCTGTCTGGTGAGTGTCGGGAGGAAGGAGAGGAGGAAGGTTTAGTTCATGAAAAAAAAAAAATCTAATAATTAATGTCAATGTCACATGTGTTGGGGTGCAACTAGCCCCCACACAATTAAAAATATCTCTGTATGTGCAGTGTTTCCAGCATAAACACTAGACATAGTGACTGCTACTGAAGTGAAGTGGTAACGGTGCCTGGAGTAACCTTTTAATAAACATTACAGACTATTATCTGTTGCTTAACACCTTCAAGTTCACTTCTACCATGTTGTTAAAGACATTTTGAACAATGATATCCCTTCACCACGGCTGTGATCTTTTTGCCTTCCAGGAATGAAAACTGATTATAGACCTCAATCAGACTTTTCACCTCTCCTTTGGTCATCTTTAACCTGAACATGCATTTCCTCTGTACCTTCCCTTGCAATATGTTAACTGAGCTTTGTACTGTCATCTGAGATCCATTGGGAGCAGTTTCTGGCCATTGAAATGGCCTGTGCTAACTACTTTCCTACCTTGTACCCCTGAGTGTCTCACTGTCTATTCCATTATTTTTGTTTATCATCCATTGAGCAGAGTTCTGTTTCTTGTCTTACTATTTCTCCTCTAGGGATCCTAATGCTGTCACCTGCATTCTTCATTCCTCTTACAGACAGCTTGATGCTGTTTTCTGTACTTGTCACCTCTTTTCCAAGAAGCGTACCTCTGGCTTCTAAATTCCCTTCTTCATCTAACGTATCTTGACATCTCAAAGCAAAAGGGAGAGGCAGACACCTGACTTCTCAAGTTTACTAAAGATACACAACCTTTTCAAGTAGAAACAAGAATTTTCCTTTATAACGGACTCCACTATGACAGCTGTGAAAAACCCTTGCAGGACAATTCTAAGAAATTCGTTGTTGTGTGAGATATGCCACTATTTCACAGATTTATATTGAGAGGCTGAGATTATAATGGATCTCTATAATCTAAATGGTACCAAAGGCAAACTAATGTTATTTACTAAAGGGAGAATTTAAAGTGAATTTCAAATTTAAGGCCAAAATAGCTAGATTGGAAAAAATCTGCTGTGAAAAATTTGAAACTCTCTTTGAATTCTCACATTATTTTTATATAGAAAAACACATACCCATGGATACTGTAAATTAGGTGTATAATATCAAAATAGAAACATACCGTACAACTTAAAAATATATTGAGAGCCTTGATAAAGTATTTTGTACGAAAAGCGTAGACGATATTGTTCTCCGTCATTCTTTGCACCGTATCTTTGTATTAAATTATCATCATATCTTTGTTTTAAGGGGTTTTACTTTGAATTTATAGATCCAGTCACTAATTTGTATTACATTGATTACTTTGAGGATTGACTAACCCCGTCAAGTAGAACTTGAGTGAGTACCTGGTTGAAAATACCTATAGCTTAATTTCCAAGATTTCCAAGAGGGACTATATTCTGTGTACATTGGAAATTGCCAATCACTGGTTGACTCGAAAGCATGTCAACCAGATCATGGTTGCTATTGTATGGAGCAAAGACATTGAGAGCCCCGTAGACAAGACTGACAATAACAACATACAATTTGCATGTCTCTGTGATAAGATGAATGGGGTGGTCTGTGAGGGAGTTTATATTTTGACTGAATTGTTCAGAGAGGCATATGATTTTTAACCCCAGGGGGAGTGTGTGTGTGTGTGTATATAACCGAAATGAATATTTAGTTATGGGCCCCTGGGGTGGAGCATTTGGAGAGCAGGGTGGGCCAGTGCTCTACTCCGCAGTTTAGCAGTTTTCTTGGGAGACATAGATCCAGGCCAGGGTTTTTGGACTGTCTCCAACCCACTGCTCAGCTGCAGGTAATCAGCTGCAGCAGTGGGAATAAACCCCTCCCTGCTAGGCAGGTAAGGGGAGAATGTTTGTTTTATCTCTTGAAGAGCTAGAAGCAGCAGGCTGACTAAACACTGGAGTGCTGAGAGCTGACAAAGACACTAGGTTGGTGAAACCAATATTATTTTGTTATAGCTTAACACTGAGAGATAGAGGATCTGATGTTAGTTAGTGCTCAGACGAGTTAGGTTTTTGTTTATAGGGATTTTGTTACATTATTGGTTTTTTTCATCTACTGCTGTCTCCGGTGTGGATTTACAAATAAAGTGCTTGGAATTAAGTTCCTTTTAAAGACTGTGCATGTTTGTACCCAAAAGGACCGTGCTCCCTGCAGACAAGGATCACAACTCATAAAAAAAAGTGTGATGTGAAATTATGAATGCATATGTATAGAGTTTGTTGCTAGTCAGGTGTGTGTTAGAGAGAATAACTAGTCAGGTATCTGCCTGTGGGAGACAATGATCAGGTGTGTGTGTGTGTGTGTGTGTGTATATATATATATATATATATATATATATATTTCTAATTAAGTATGTATGTGAGTTTGCTAATAAGATATGTGCTTATCACATGCATATCATAATTGTTATTATTAGTGTTTATAAAGTACCACTGAGTTCTGCAGCATTACTCTGAAACAGGACAACTTACAAACAAGTCAAATGTACAGGAATCGAAGCTCTTGTTAATAGAGCTATAATTAGATAAAAAGTAAAGACAAAATGCATTTTATACAGAGTAAACATTTGTTGTTAGTAGATTAACAATACAATTAGCTCTTAAATTATATAAATTGCAATTGGAGGTCAGCAAGGGCAGGTGTCACCGAATTTAGCTGTACCCAAGGAACCGCTACAATGGAGTGTCTGATGCAATGGACTAGCTGACTGGGACACAGGGAAATTTCCCGGTGGGCCATCCCAGAATGCTCTATTCAGGGACCAGGACCAGCTGTCTGTTAGTATGTGTATTGTCACTGTGTGTGTGCCACTGTATTTGCATTGGTCCCTGTGTGTGCCATTATGTGTGTATTGGTCTTTGTGTGTGTGTGTCAGTGTGTTTGTATGGGTCCATGTGTGTCAGTTTGTTTGTTTGGGTCACTTTGTGTGCTTTTGTGCCAGTATGTGTTAATGAGTGTATGTAAGTGTGTGTTTGTGAGTGTGTGCATTGGTGATTGTGTGAGTGTGGTTGTATTGGTAAATGTGTATGTCAGTGAGTATATGTATATTTATTTATTTAAAATAACTGGGCGGGTTTATTTTATTTTTTTACCTATACACTATGCTGGCAAGATGTGTTATATATAGGAATCAATTAAAGCATAAACATTTTACATTAACCCTGAAAACCATCAGAAGCCAGTGTGGGGACTGACAGAGGGTGAGATCTGGGAGGTGCAAGAAGACAAATAAATTGGTCTGGATGCCGCATTTAGAATGGACTGCAATGGAGCAGGCTGGAAATGTGTAAACATTTGGCTGATGACTCTAGATGTGCAACACATGGTAACTGCATCCAGTGTTAGGAATGGGAATATTAATGTTATGGAATCAACAGGAATTGATTATTGATTACATTTGAGGATAGGCTGGAATCATAGAGATTCCAGCTGGTTATAATACAGGTGGTGGAACCATAATCTAATTCCTAATATAATATAATATAATATAGGTGCTGTCTGTCAGTATGTGTATTGTCAGTCACTGTGTGTGTGTCACTGTATTTGCATTGGTCCCTGTGTGTGTGTAATGGCATGAAGACAAACGTCAACACCTTTTATGGAGAAATAAAGATTTTTCAGATAATTTCGAGCATGCACACACACACATTCTTACACTCATGTTACAAATATTTCACAAAGTTTGTATGTGCGTAGTCATGACTGGGATTAGGGGAGAGAAAAACATGAATGCACAATGAATAAAGTGCTGGAATTGGACCAGACGCTGGTAGAGGTGTGGGTCACTGGTATGAACATGGTTGAGCAGAACAAAACGTTATAATTTGTGGTATAGAGTCGTATGTTACAGCCCATAGACAGTAACTCGAGAATGTATTTATTGTAATATATACACCAAACGTGGGCTAT